ATAGAGGCCCAAACTTGTACATTGCTCACTGTAGCGGCCTCTTTGGTCACAATGGAATACGGGGAAATACCCGGCATCCGTGGACACACACAATCCCTCTGACGCTAGCCATTTTCACCGCTTTCAGCACTTTTTCCTGCTGTGCTCACAAAATCTAGCACCTCTGATTTTTTTTTTTTTTTTTTACCTCCAGCCTTTTTCCTTTCACACCTGCAACACACACCAAACACACACACCACACCCACACACACACACACACCTTGCCCGTCTTTGTCTCCCTTGTCTCTTCTTTAATGGTGTGTTCATTAAATAAAGCAGTTTTGGGGGAGGGTGGATTCAATCCTGAAAAGGGGGAACGGGGAAGAGGGGGCTGGAGGGGTGTGCTGTTTTTGCTGTGATGCCCCAGACTGCTGGACAAAGAGTCTCTCTGTCGGGTGGTGTAGATGAGAGATGGTTGGGTGAAAGAGACTGGATGGGTGTTGTTACCTCAATAGGTGTGGCCTTAGGCTGGATTACCTGGTATCAGCCAGCTGATTGTCTGGTTGTGATCGCACAGCATACAGAACTGCCCAGGCAGCCATGATGGAAATGTCAAATGCCCAGTCTTTGTTTGGCTTCTCTCTATGTGTGTGTGTATGTGTGACTGCTGATTTGGTCAGAGGAGCACAGGGAGTGTTTCCAGCCAGCTATAGCTGGTCATGTCGGCGTCGCTGCTGAAAACAACACTCCCTTCCTTTCTCTGTCTTTCTGTCTGCTTGTGTCTTTCTTTTCTCTCTTTGTCTCTCAACACACACATAAATAGTCACACACAGAGACGCACATACTTTGTAGGATTCAGATGGTTTTAGCTGCAGGTCTCCTCTTCAAGTGCCATAAATCTCTCCCGCTGTAATATTCAGGAAACCTTTGAAACAACCAGCAAATTACCTGCTGTAAAAACTGACTAGCACCCTGGCGCAGCGGCTTACTTCTCGCAGCTCGTGCAGTACTATTTTTATTCAGTGAGTCTAGTGAAAACCCCTAATTAAAGCCTTTATGTCACTATATGTTATTAAAAGTCATAAACATAGACAGACACAAGCAGCTGGGGATTTGGAATGTGTGTGGGGGAGGTATTATTCAGATTGAGTTTTAAGACTCAGTGTTAGATTAAAGTAATGTAATACTTGGTTTTTGAACGATCAAACAACATTGGAAACAAAACTATGTCATCCCATTGGCAGAAATTTTCATATGATTTCATAAGATTTTTAAGATTTAGAAGTAAATATGCCTGCAGTGTCTCTGGAACCAATTTGAGGTGATCTGGACCTTTTGACACGGCTACCACTAAATTGAGTCTGAAGTGTTTATAAATTCTCTTAAAGCTTTTCTGTGTGGCCTTTGTTTTTGACTTATTGCCACATTTCATTGTTTGTCCCAGTTCCAGACTCCACGTGCACAGTCCCCAGAGATCCGATAGCAAAATGTGGCATGTTTGCTTGATGATATTAATGACAATAACAGTGGTGTGTTTTTTTAAGTATAGGAGGCAGGAACAATAGAGGAGCTGTTGTCAATGAATATTCTTACACTAATTAACTCGACTTGCCAGGAGGATATCTGAAGTTAGAGAAAACATCCAAAAAAACAGCCTTTAGCTCTCACATGTTGAGTAAGACTGCCAGGATGGTGATCAAACAGCTCAACAGCACCAATCTGGGCAGGCAGGGAGGTAGGGAATTAAAGCTCTGATCTGTTTTTTAATCACTGCTCTGCGCGTCTCTGCTTCTCTACTTCTGACACCAGACAACTTTGCAACTCTTAAAATCTGTCATCCGGGTATAAAGTGGAAATTCCCAAAATATTTCCCCAAAGTAATGACCGTGGCAGGGCAGAGCGGCATGCCAAGACATATAATACCGTGTCCTCTTGAACTGGATAGGATGGTTTTAACAAATACTTTTTTCATGGATGGTTTTAACTTTATGAGGTACCAGATGAAAAAGCTTTGTCACAGAGGCCAATGCCACAAATGCAAAAATGAAGAATTAAATAGGCAAATACTTGAATGAATGCTATTATTTTTGTGTAATCTTGATATAGTGAGCTCAACTTATCTGGTAGATGTTGGACAAAAGAAACCACCAAGCTAAATATTTTAGGAAAGATGTTAAGAACTGTTGTTGAATATATGTCAGTTCTGGTTAAATGTGCAAATGTGCATTCTGTTCTGTTTGTTAGAACACATCTGAGGATTTTTTTATTTTTTTTTTATTTTGCTTTTTCAAACTTTGATGAAGCAAAACAAAAAATCTGAAATATTACTAAACAAACCACATAAAACAATGGAAAGATATTTGTGGGATTTGACCATTTATAAATCTAAGTATGTATAAACACATAATGGGGATTTTACACAAGGCAAAATTGAACAGACTTACAGTAGACAGTGTTTGGTGGGAAAATTTTGAAAAAAATCACCCTCCCGTGTGCCATCCAACGACTACCACAGAATATTTAAATACAACCACTGTGGTAGCAAGGCATCATGGGGCTTTATTACTGCCAATCAATTGTAGTCTCTCATTTTCCTCCCCATGCAGATTTTAAAGTCATTGTTCTGATTGTTATACACAGTCTGCACACTGTTGCAGCACATATATTCACTGTGGGCACAGTAACACACTGAATTCCTTGGCTGAAAAACTCCCAAACACAGCCATTCTCCACCCCTCGTCTCTTTGTTCCCATTTTTACACTTTTCCCCTCTCCTTCCCCCCTTCACTACCTCTTTATGCTGTTTCCTTTGGTGTTGCTCCTCTGAGCGCCGCACTCCCATAGACCTTACTGTGCCGCAGAGGTTCGATCCCAATTCCCCACATAGCTGTTGCCTGGGCCTCATTCACAGACCCCGTTGACTGGCAGTGTGAATGTCCAGGCCTCATGTTTCGCTCTGTACCCAAAACCTTTTCCCCCATCAATCATGGCAGAAGAAAAACATGTCAAAGCTAATACTTAGTGAGGAGATCTTTAAGATTACTTCATTTTTAGTTTGGAATAACTGACGTTTGGGATAATATAACAAAGATAACTGAAGCCAAAGATGCTTGATATAAAGTTTATTTAATAAGTGAAGCTGTGTTCAACTCTATCCATGAATATGTGATGCAAGTATAGAATTTACAAACCTGCAGAATATCATCAAAATCAACCAAAAATACCCTATTACACCAATCCCTTTCCACAGTTATAAATATTAAAGGTTTATTATAATTATTATAAAAAAATGTCTGCGTCTGTCACAATTTTTTGAATCACTATAATGGTCAGATTTAGAAGGTGAGTAATGTACTATAGTTAACAGGGGAAAAAGAGCATTAATCCCTGGCCTGTAGGGTCTGTAGGGTCTGTGAGTACAGTGATGTGTCTGTCTAATATAAACATTGGGATTGGACCCGGACTAATTCCGCCTTGTGATTTGAACTCCTTTAAATGGAAGTTGCAGCTGCAAATGTTTCCATATTCCAGATGCTGCATTTGAGCTGTAATTGCCAGTACAACCTCAGAATGAAATAGTGGCTGTATTTTTATAACTTTACAATGTAGAAAACTGCAGTCATGTTATCGTAAGTTTTTCAGAAATATATAGAAAAAGGGGAAAATAATGTTCCCTTAATGAGCGAGACAAATTGTTTTAAATATTACAAGCGCAAGAAATAAGTGCACATGTCAAAATCAGCATTGATAGAGGATTAAAAGAATATATTCTTATGAACCTACCATGTTTCACTTAGAAATAATAGAACTCCAATAGGAAAAGAACCATGAATTGATGTAAAAGCTGCTATATTTTGTTTCCTTTTATCAGACCCAACAAATTACTATGCTTTTTACACTGTTACTAAAAAAATAACTGTACTGACAGACCTGAGGGGTTTTAACTTCAGGTATGCGATGCGTCCCGTGTGTGAATTTTTCATCTTCCTGTACTTTCAACACCTCTGTCTCAACACTGCTGTATTTTCTCCTTCATCGGTGGGGCAGGTGGGAGCTGGATTACCTGAAGCAAAACCGTAGCTGGTTCGGCCTAAGATAGAAAAAAAGCTTTTGACATGGTGCAGGTGCAAATGCTGGAAGAAAAAATAAAAGCAGTGAAGGTTTAGGCACAATGTGACTCAGGAGAGGATAAGGGGATTTCACAGACAGCAAAGTTTGTTTATCACTGCAATGATGGATGCTTATGGCAACATACAAACAGAGTCATCCCATATACAGCTTGTGATTCACCCACACGCAGCCAGATACACAAATTCAAAATTTAATGTGTGAGTTCATCTTCGTCTCTATCATGAATGTAACTTTCCTCCCAGGTTTCCACAGAGAGGCCCTTAAAAGGGCTCTTAACAGAAAGCAGGGCACTTCAGAGATTTCTCCGGCAGAATTGTGAATAATTCAAAGCAAACTTACAGCATGTTACCATGTTTCCATACCTACAGAGAGTTGCCTCACATGCAAGGCTAAACTGGTGTGTATTTATATGTTGGTTGTGCCGATGTATATTTACATGTTGGACTTGTGGTCTGTTTTGTTGGCTGTTTTTTGCATTTCGGTCACCTCATGGGTTTAATACAAAATGTAGCCAAATAATAACAGTTGAGTGTTATTTGAAGTAAAGCGCTTGAATTATATGAGAAATAATAAATAATAAAATAATGGAAAGAATTTAAAAATTCACATTTCTTTCTCTTTTACAGATACTCAATATAACTATATACAGGCTCCTACATTTAACTGAAGTAATGCCAATTAGATATAAATAAATAATTTATTAGTTGATCAGAAAGTTAAACTAAACATTTATATTGTTGAAGCCCCATACCTTTACTTTGTATTTCAAACTTAACTTTCCTGCTGTCAATGAAAGCTTTTGATACAAAGAAATTAATTCACATTCACTGTGCTTTAAAAAAAGTGTAATTTCTTTTAAATTCACATACGTACCCTCCTCTGTCTTTCAGCCTGTCCGTCTGGCTTTTTCAAGCCAACTCAAGGAGATGAACCCTGTATGCAGTGTCCCATCAACAGCCGTACCACCAGTGAAGGCGCCATTAACTGCGTTTGCCGCAACGGATACTATCGCACCGACTCAGATCCTCTCCAGATGCCATGCACAAGTATGTATAGTACTGAAGTTGTTATATGTGAACTTTGACTTACACTCCACACAAACACACATAGTGTGCCCACATGAATACACACCCACAAAGCCTTTGATTTCAAATATGAACTTTTTGACACATACACATTTCACACCCGCAAGCAGAAGAGCCCGGGGATCAAAGGACAGTAGTAGTCTGTGTAACTCCAAACAGAGAACCCCTGTCAGAGCTGTCCCTCACACGAACACAACGCTGACATGCCCATAGTGTGGCTGTCCACAGATCTGACCCAACACACAAGGCTCGGCTGCCCCTCCTAAACATCACACAGCCCGTACTCCAAGCCAGACCAGAGGTTACTGGGCCAGGGCGCGTAGCTTTGTGAAGGGGCAGGCACGGAGAATGAGCCCAGGCGAGACGCTCTCTTGTCATGCCAATGAAGCTGTTTGAATTTGAATTTGAATTTGAGGCTGACACTGAGGTTGAGAGAGAGAAGAAGAGAGAGAGAGGGAGAGAGACATGGAAGGATAGACCAAAGCAAAATTAAGCGAAGGAGGAGTAAAGCGTGAGGACTCGAAAGGAATGAAGGAGAGGGAGTTTGAGAGAGATGGAGCGGGGTTGTGTGCATGTAAGAAAGACAGAGAATTGGTGCATAGAGTGTGGTCTAACTAAAACAAAACGGGGGTGAGTGAGAAAAAAAAGCCCCTTTCAACGTTTTGGTAGTGTTTTTTTCCTCACTCTCCCTCTCTGCCTGTTGAAAGGGAGAGAGGAGGGAAAAGATTTGATGGTCTTCAACAAAGGAGATTTGCATAAGCCTGGCTCTGGGAGTCGAGCAGCTGTTGTGAATGAGAAAGCAGCAGCGTCACGTCACCCGTATTAAGCGCAGCAGGGCCCGGCCTGATTAAAGCAAGGGAATGGGCCCATCAGAGTGGCCCGCCAGCTAACGGGGGGGATATTAGTCCTCCTCCCCAGGAAGGAGATGCCAAGGAGGAGTTATGTTTCCATGTATGAGAGACACCAAGAAGGGCACTCCAATGGGCTTCCTTCCAGAACCGGAGATCTGTTAATTGCTGCCAATTAAAAGGAGGTTAAATAAGAAATGATCGATTCAGATTTAGGATGTTGTGGGCGGAGTGGAATTGTTTATCTCATTAGTCCTGGAGGATACATCTTCCATAATTAGGTGCACATGGCTGTAAAAGATAAACAGTTCTCAATGTTTGTTTGTTTGGCCTGTCACTCAACATGCAGCACCATGTGGAAAGTTTCCACCCTGTAATGCCTAGCTGCTAAGAATGTCTCAACAGGAGGAACAGTAGGTTTCTCTCCACTGCAGTAACTCTATACGATGCACCATGAGAAAATTGTCAAGAATAGATGTTAAGAAAACACTTGACGAAGTGGACACCAACATGGAAAATGAGAGAATGTAAATGGGCGTCCCGTGGGAAGAGACACTGCCAGCTTGGAACACAGACTCAGACCTCAAAGAGGCTATAGTATGTTAGTGAGTTTGTGGATTTTCCCTTCTCCTGCATAGGGGTTATTTAGGTGAAGTTGGTAATTATGCCCTCCACACCATCAACTACACAACACGGCTTCCATCATAAAATTAGAACAATGCTGTGGAATGTAATGCAATGTGAATGCAAAAGTAGTTTCCTTGAAGTCGTGGCACGTATGAGAGACAACATTTTCCAGTCTTTTAAGCAAAAAATGCCAATGAAAACTACTGAATGCTACGACAAATGAAATTTACATAATCAAATTTTCAACCACTTGTTAGATTGTTAACTCTTAACACTGTTTTTGGTCCTTCGCAGGATATCTTAAAGGCTATAATCAAAGATTTTTATATTAGGATCACATGTAACTCTGTGAAAGGAGGTACTTAGTGACAAACCCAAAGAGAATTTTCATCAAACTCTGCAGTTCCCCTCAGGGTCGATCTGCTCACTGTTTTGGTTTTACAGCCTGCAACTTAACTGTTCAGATTCACTCTCACTGCTCTCATCAACCTTGTTTCCAGCAGCAGGCAGCTGTTTTCAGTGAAAAAGCCATGAAAAAGCCACTGTACACTACCTGCCCAGCCCCAGCGGCAGAAAGACACAGTTGGCGACTTGCTGGTAAACATAGTGGAGCATTTAGCAGTTAATGGCGGCGATATATTTCCCCTGGGAGTGTTTGAATATCAAAAACAGAGCTAAAAGGAGAGTGAATATTAGACTTACATTGGCCAGGTGGGCATAAACACATCTCAAATAAACGCTAATGTTGCCCTGTGTCTGCTGGATGTGTAAATAAACAACTGTTTTACAGTATATTTACCCTACATATATATCCATGTGTTATTTGCAGTTGTGTTGCCAAGTTGTCAAAAAAACATTCAGTGAAGGTTTGAAAACTTGGTAAAACATTTCAGTGTAATTTGATAGCCAGGCTTAGGGTCAGCATATAAGAGAGCTGTTTTTGTTCCAGATCCTGAGGCAGTTTTGAAGCAGTTTGGAACCAAACTGTTTTTCTGTGCTTCAGGAAAGAGTTATGAACATCAAAACAGAACTGTTTTGTCACGTTTCCCCTTTCTTCTTTTTACTTTGTATTTAGAGTTTTACTTGTTTTTTTTACATTATGATGTATGTCAATGCCAAAGTATGCATCTGCAATTTAGTTCAATTGACAGCTTACTTCCCAAAATATTTGTGCATTGGTTTATTCACTCAAGTGTTAAGAGTCTCTCTTGTATTTTGCAGCCGTCCCTTCAGCTCCACAGACTGTTATCTCCAGCGTGAATGAAACTTCTGTGATGCTGGAGTGGATGCCTCCTCGGGATTCGGGGGGCCGCGAGGACGTAGTTTTCAACATCATCTGCAAGAGCTGTGGAGGAGGCCGGGGAGGCTGCACCCGCTGTGGGGACAACGTTCAGTTTTTGCCCCGTCAGCTGGGTCTGACAGAATCTCGGGTCTACATTAGTGACCTGTTGGCCCACACGCAGTACACGTTTGAGGTGCAGGCTGTCAACGGGGTGTCAGATCAGAGCCCCTACTCCCCTCAGTACGCCTCAGTCAACATTACCACTAACCAGGCTGGTAAGTGGGCCCATCTGTCTTCTTCTACACTTTATATTCCCCAAGTGGTTTCCTCTTCTCTTCTCTTCTCTTCTTTTCTCTTCTCTTCCCTCTTGTCTTTCTTTTTTCCATGTGTATTTCTGCCCATTTGTCGTTTATTCCCTGTATAGTACCTCTTCATTACACTCATTCCTCTACAAGCACATAATGCACAGTGCATAGAACTCCACTAAGTAAGTTTCTTTCCTCTCCTGTATGGTGATGTATGCAGATTAAGGGCTCTAAAATGGGGAGGAGAGTGCCGTTGATGATGTGACAGACTGAATGTGATGGCCTGCTGGTCTGTACACTGTGACCTCATTGCCATGTTTTTTCAGACTGCGGATCTAAGAGCCGGCTAGCTGCTGTCTCGCCACTTCATATGCTGTTCAGTGATTACATATTATATTTTCATCCACCCACTTGATTGTAGTGTTACATTGTACATGTAGTTTTTTTTTTTTTTTAACACAGTATATGTAATAGCATATAGTAACCGTTAGTATACAGCTGTACACACACTATGTATGAGCTACCTTGTAAACTAAAACACATTCCAGCACGTTCTGAGGTCTAATGAAAAACAGGTTGACGACTGGGGTACATTTTTAATCTGTAGGATCTTCTAGAAATTTACCTCAAAATCTCCTCCAATGTTTCCTCTGCAACTATTGGAGCTTTGCATGCTTTCCACTGTGTGGTTTGCGGTTGACGTTGGCTGCATCTGTAATTATTTCACATAGGGAGCAGCATTGATTTGCTCTTTAATTGTCTTTATGAAACGCATCATTTGGCGTGCCAAGCTTTTCTCCCCCAAGCACTGATGAGTCGGGGGTGGGGGGGTTGGGGGATACAGGCAGGGCTTTATCTTTGCGCTGGCTTTGCATCCCATTAGCAGTATACGTAAGTGCCTGTCATCTCTCATCATCCATCCGTCTGCACTGAGAGCAGTCTTGTATGACTGAGCTACCTAAAGCACTATGTTACCGTGCTTTTATTACAGCGGACATATTGGGTTTTGTTTAACTACACTCTCGCTCTCTCATTACTTTCCTCTGGAATTCCCAGATGTCCAGATGCCTGCATGGAAGCAGCCAAATAGTAAGAGGATACAAGTTGGATGAACACATTTAAGAGAAGATTTTTCTACAAGTAAATTGACCCATTGTAGCAAACTTCAGTGTTTACAGAAAACTGTTTGTGTAAAAGCTCCATAAAGTACTCTGTTACAATGCTGAAACTCTAAGTCACACTAAAATGGAGGCCTTTATTCAAACGGCGACCCTTTTTTATTGTCTGTTTTGATTTGAGTCACTGGTGTGGTGGGTTAATGAGGGCCTGTGAGTGCAGTTAAGCGTTGTAATGAGGCCCCTGCCCCACTCTTTCTCACTGGGCCACAATAAGTCTGCCACCCCAGCCCTTGGCTTCTCTGCTTCCCCTGCCGTGGGGTCCTGGCGGAAATTGGGGGGCTCTGCGCCCTCTCCACTGAAGTGCCCGTCACTTTGGATTAGGCAGCAAGCGCTCCCGTCGGAGGAAGCTGTGAAAAGAACTCAACTCTTGCTTGCCCCCACTCCACCTTCCCCCGTCACCCTGCAAAACCAGGCTCACCCCAGGGACATGGGATTGCAGTTTTGCGGTGCAATGCTACAGGGTTGGGGTCACAGGGACCAGGAGCCCATAATTGCATCTGGTTTGTGAGGCTTGGAGGTTACATAAACATCATGTCACCCTTGATTACCTCAGGCAATTCTGTGCCTCCTTATTACACTGAGAATGAGAGTGTTAGAACAAAATATATTTGCAATAGATACGTGTGTTAGTCAGTCCCTTAGTAAGCTTACACTGGGCCAGAGGCTGGAGTGTTTCATGAAAGCAACAAATAAATAATTAAATGGAGTAAGTGGCGTGAAAGAGTGTCTAATTTCTAGTGTGGATGGCTGTCGTCCTCAGCAATGTCTTGTTGCTGTGAAGGGCGGGGGCAGGGCAGGAGAGTGGTGTGAGATTTGAGCAAAACTTCTCACTCACCATACCCAATCAAGCACCCACCACACTCTATTACCCACAGGGCTTATCCTCCCACCCTGTAGGTGGTTGGCGACAGTTTCTCTGTGATAAAGGACGTGATTGCCCTGGAAAGTGCAGCGCTTGATTACACACTGTAATGCCACACAAAAGGAAATGCCGTGCCGAATGGCATTTGAGCCCGTTTTATAAGCATATGACTAATTCCCCAAAACTTGTATTGTGTAGAAAACGCAGGAGCCTTGAAGTGCCTCCAAGCCTTTTTATAATAATGAGTCACAAGTAAGCCATCTATTTTGGCTTTTCTCTGTCTATAAAATGTTACTCTTTGCATGACATTAAATGAGCTGAGGCAGTGGGACAGAGTTGCAAATCTGATGCTTTCTGTCAGGGACTGAGGGTGAAAACCATCGTGGGTCTTGGTGTTACAATGATTTAACTGGGTCTGACAGGTGAGACAGTGATGACACAAGATCAGTCTCACACGTATGGTAACACGTGGGGGGGAGGGGTCAGATTTAAATGTATTACTGCACTGATTATTGAACATCTATCTTAATGCTGTTGTTAAAGAATACCTCCAGACATAATTAGGATATAGTGTATGTCAAAACAATAATGTGTGTCTGATATGTTTTTTCTGCAAAAAAGTATTTCCACATAAGAACAGCATCTCCGTCTTCCTCATTTAGAATGCCATAAACTATGAGTATGCTAATTTTGTTCATTTTAAAAGTTTTTTGCTGGACACAAAATGTCTCCTGTTTCCCTGTAAAGCCCATCCTCAGTTTATGCACTCTGAACATACATTATTCTGCACAGTGAAGCTCAAAC